AAAATACACAGAAATAATGTTCAAAATATTTTAAGTAATTCTTCTGGCATCATTGTAAGTCCTTTACATATGTTAATTCATTTAATCCTTTTAATAACTCTTTGAAGTAGGTTTTATAACGAAGCCCTTTTTACAGATGAGGAAACTGAGGCACAGAGTGTTTAAATAACTTGTCCACAGTGTCCAGGAGTTAGGAGTTAGAATCAGGATTTGTACTCAAGCAAACTGGATACAGAATTTGTGCCTTTAGCCAGTATGGTATATTGTTACTAATCAATTGCTACAAGCCTGGAGCAGGTTGCAGTATATCTACCTGTCACTTACTAGGCAGAGGCAAGTTACTTCTCTGTTTCTATTTCTTCATCTGTAGTCCAAGGTACCTGCATCTCACAGGGTCATGGAAAGGATTAAAGGAGTTACTATATGTGAAGTGCTAAGAAGAGCACTTGGCACACAGCGAACACTTAGTAAATATCAGTTACTATTATTATCATCATATTAAAAAGATTTACCAAAATGATACTTACATGAATCTGATTATATCCACATGTAAGAATATAAGACTGATGTTTCTAAATATTCTTTTTAGTGATGAAAGCATATGAAATTTTGTAAATCCTTCCTAAATACTGATATAGGCACTGAATATAAGAGGGCTATGCTAGAAAACAGTAATGTTATCATAGCAATATTGTTACATAATAATAAACATTTATTAGGTACTGACTTGTGTCAGACACTGAACTTGATGCTTTATAATAACTCTGTAAAGTAGTAATATAATTAGTCCAATTTTACTGATGAGGTAAAGTACCTTGCCCTGTGTCACGCAACTAGTAAGTGGTGTAAGTATAAATCCTGGGCACCAAGGGAAGGTGTGCGAGACAGGCTCCATTTTTTCTGGGTCTTTATGGCTACCACAGTTCCACTAAGTTTCTGAAACTTTTGTTGAATAAATGAGAAACTGATAGACTAAATGTGTGATTGCTACCTTCTAAAACTTTGTATTTATTTAACAAATACAAATTGAGGTGAATTTACTTACTTCACCTCAACTGAGGTATATTTATTTATTTTACAAATACAGAGAAGTGAAGGGAGGGAGAAAGAGAAGGAGAGAAACATCGATTGGTTGCTTCTTGTGCCCTGATTGGGGGAGAAGCCCACAACCCAGGCATGTGATGCCCCACCGAGTCATGTGGGTCAGGGCTGATTGCTGCCTTCTAATTCACAGCATGCTGATTGCCCCCTCTCCCCTTGAAATATTGCTTTCATATTATTTTTATAATCAAAAACAAAATTGTATTTTAAAAAGACTCAGAGATTAGAATAATTCTTGACTAGTTATAGATTTAAATCTATTCTGATAATAATCACAGATGTTTACTTTTAGTTTTAAATTCCACCAAAGTAGTAATGTAACACTTGTGAGTACTATTGGGTCTAATAGAGAACAATCCAAAAGATAAAAACACAGCAGCAAAGAAAAGTGTAAGAGAAATAAACAGAAAAAAAAAATAAGGAGGGAGAGAACAAAAGTAAAAGATACAGAGTCACGGTGAAGCAACAATACTTGTAGATGACTTTATAATGTTAGGTGATACTGACATCTCCTTGAGCAGATGTCCTCAGACAGCCCTTCTAAGGAATTAATTCCTGAGCCTACTCACGTAATCATAAATGAGGTATTAACTAGAGTGGAATGACCTAGGATTTGGCTGAATTTATTGACTCTCATGACAAAACTTCTTGCTCTACCTTTAGCTGAGTTATTCCTAGTTTGGGCAGATCTGAGTTGGGTCTCTGGGTGTATAACGACTCTACAAGTGACCGCCAGGAAGCGCCCTTTATAACCAACTCTAAAAAGGGAACTATAGTATAGTCCATTCGAGCTAGCACATGACAAAAATCTTTCATCCCCATTGTGGTACATACTACTTCGATTTTGGGCAACATATTTATTTTCCTAATTGTAATTTGTTTAAGCTAATATAAAATCTGTTTACATTCTTGAGAACTAGCAACAGTAACGAGTGCTGCCAGAAACAGGGACAAGCTAGCCTGCAATAAGAACCTGATGGCAACCTCACGGAGAATATACAAAGTGAAATACTGGTATACTATAGGATCTCATCAAAGCATACATGTTATAAGCAAACAGGACAGAAAAGGAGATTTGCTTTTTTGTAATTCTCTGCTAGGAAGCATACAAGGAATATAATTAACTTAAAAGTAAAGGAAAACAAACATTTGATTCAGTGCCAATAAATATGGGCTTATTTACTACTAACACAAGATCATTTAAAAGAAATTTATATTGGATTTAAATAATGGAAGCCCTTTATTGTTTATATCCCACATATCTATGCTCCTTAAAAATTAATCTAACAGTGATTAGTAAAACATATTGATCTGAAAATAATTCATTTTTTCCCCTCAAACACCAAGTTAAAATCTCTAAATGTCCACAATAGCCTCATGTGAGTGAAGGTTATTATTTTGGCCAAAATAAAGGCGCGGTTTTGGTGTTGGCAGGGGCGAGAGTGAGGAAGAATTGGACCCACTGCCACGGTGGAGTGTCAGCCTCTGGTGACGAGGATAATGGGTCTGAGACACCGCACAGGTAACCAGGTTCTTTGTGTTTCTTTTTTTTTTAATATATTTTATTGATTATGCCATTACAGTTCTATTCCCCCCCTTCATTCCCCTCCACCCTGCACACCTCTCGCCCACCATTCCCCCTTTAGTTTATGACCACTTGTATCAAGTTCTTTAGATTCTATATTTCCCATACTATTCTTGCCCCCAGCTATCTTCTACCTACCGTCTATGCTATTTATTTTCTGTACCTTATCCCCCCTTCTCCTTCTCCCACTCCCCTGTCTAAGAAAAAGAAGATAAAAAAACATGAACAGTGAAAGGACAGCAAACTCACAGTTACTAAGAACCACACCTAAAACAAAAACAAACTAAGAGGACAGCTAGATCAGGAGCAGAACCATAGAAATGAAGATCACATGGAGGGTTTGTGTTTCTGATACATACAAAAACATTGCTCTACTCACTAGTACAATATTTTCTCAACTCAGTGTATGATTTTATTTTCCTTCAAGAAGTTGAATAAAAAGTTGCCCATAAAGTTGTATTTCCCATTTGCTACAACTGACATACTTAGACAAAAGAAAAGTTTGTGAAATACTGGACACAAAGATCCAATGATAATTCTCAATCAAATATGACTTTACATTGGTATGTTTTACCACAAAAATCTAAATTCGAAGTGATATTCACATACTGTAAAAAATGCTACAAAAAATACCCAAAACTTTATCTGACATTTTGAAACATTGCCTATAAAGCCTGATTGCAATTAATTTGCCACCAAATATTCTCACAAGATCAAGGCCAGTCATGTACCACGTGAGACTAAGAGTCCAACTTTCAACTGGTTAATCCCTCCCCAGGCAGAACACTGGTTCCCTGCAAACCCATTATTTTGATGACTATGATACTGGTTTGTAACAGAATCTGACCTGCACTTAATTTTGTAAAAATGTACATGTTGGCAGTTACATTTATATGTCTTTTTTATTCAGTTACTTCTATTATGTGGAAATTAATGACAGTGTTTACTAACAAATTTAAAAAACTCTTGTTATTGTACTGGGCTCTAAAGGAAATGTTTGATTTCAAGAGTTTACTTAGTTTTAAAGGAAACAAATTAAACTTGCTTCCTTGTGGGATTAAGGTGTACTTGAGCATTCCCAACCACACAATTATTTTAACATGTCATTCTAACTAATTCACAATAATAGTCACTTTTAATTTTAGGAAGAGACTTTGTTCTAACAAAACTAAATTATCAAAAATGGAATTTTTAGAAAAATAATTTTGCAACTTATGACTTTCAGCAGAGATCTAATCAGCGAAGAAATTCTTATTAATGAGTATTTATAGAAAAGAGATACATAAACAACGAATTCACTCTCAACGTAGTCAAACAATAGCTATCCTCCACAATGACTGAACGTATGGTAAACGGGCTGTAGAATTTGCCCACTTACTTGGATAAAGTTGGTTTCACAGCTATTCACAGTCTAGTTAACACCTTCGCTCCCCTTATCCTGCTCCACCCCATGCCCCGGGAGTCTAGGCCACCTCTTACGTGCTGTAGGACACCGTTCTGCAAATCCAAATCCAGATGTTCTAAGAATAAATCAGCTTCCAGGGCTCTCTGAAAATAGAAATCTTTGTAGGGCTTCTACTTTGGGGGCAGACACGGGACCTCGTTTTCAGACGGACACCCTTCCTTAGAACATTGTTTCATAATGCTGAGGCTTGTTTCTAGCCTCCAAGGTTGAATATCCTTTAATTTCTTTACCTAGATGTCTCTCTAACCCCTTTTGTAAAGAATAACAAGAATAACATTGTCTAGTCACCTATTAGCTCATTCTGAAGTTCTTACTTATAAATTGTAGGTAAAAAGAAAGTAGAAACTTGATTAAATGGACCAGTTCACCTAGCTTAATCCCCAGATCTTATTGCACATGATTTCTTGATTACTTTCTTAATATTTAACTTCTAATCATATGTAGTTAATAGATAATATAAGGCAGCTTCCAGGAAGTCATCTATTTTACCATTCAGCAGAGTTCTTAATCATCGTCTAACTCTACTCAGTCATGGAATTTCAATTTTATTCACTATTCACCTAAACAAAAATATGACTGCAAAAAATATATCAAAATATATTCAGAAAATACCTTTCAATCCCAGGGAAACATGAAGTGGTGCAAAACATTTTAAAGATCTATTCCTTGTTTTGTTCCATTGACCATATTACATTATTCATTCAATGTCAATTTATTAAGTCTCCAATAACACAATAACTGGAAACTGAACCCTAACACCCTTCTTAAATCACTGGTATGAGAGTGCCCTTGCCCCTGAATTTGCCTTATAAAAGTCTATTTGAGCAAAATGTGCTCCTTCTTCTCTACCTTATTGTCAGTCCGAATCGTGACTTTCAGCTGGGGTAGTACACGCTCCACTTCTAGACTCCATTCTGCAGCATCTGTTGTGGATTCTAAAATATCTTCTTGTTTGGCAGACTCGTTCATATCCTAAGAAAGGAAAGATATCACAAGATGGAGAGTTTATAAAAAGAAGTAGTAAAATTGTGAGGCATTTTAGCAGGACTACACAACTCATATCAAGCATGGTAGTGTTAAAATTATAGTGGCAGCAGAAATTCTTTTCTGTCCTGATCCATGTTGAAAGGAAATAATGCACCAACTTGGTAGAATAGCAAAATTAATATATTTTTTTAAAAAGCAGAAAATACATGATTCAACTATTTTAAAGTAAATTTTATTGTAGTTTTCTCATTACCATTTAACTATTTTTATAACCAATATTTTTAAAATACCACAATTAATTCAGTGGGAAATACTATCAAGTGGAGAAACCATTTAGGTTTGTTACGTGGTAACAGTAGGAAACATACACACATTTGATATGAAAACATTTCCTTACTGACAATACAAACCCCCGATCTTAAAGACAAAAAAGATAAGATCCTAAAAACAAAGGGCTTATTCTTTATAGATTTTTGTACTCATAATTAAAGTGATATTCTGGTTAGGCTGAAATATAATGTAGGTTAAAAATGTGATTTAATGCAGACCTATCTGAACTCAAATACAGTGCGGGCCAAATTTCTGCACTTGGTTTCTGCTGTTGAGTAAGAAAGTCAATTCATGCCTATTTTTTTTTTAATTTTTAAAAAACTATTTATTTATTTATTTTTAAAATTTATTTATCTTTAGAAGGGAAGGGAAGGGAGAGAAATATCAATGTATGGTTGCTTCTCTTGCATCCCCTGCTGGGAACTGGCCCCTGCTGGGAACTGGCCTGCAACTCAGGCATGTGCCCTGACTGGGAATCGAACCGCGATCTTTTGGTTCACAGGCCCATGCTCAATCCACTGAGCTACACCAGCCAGGGCTAATTCATGCCTGTTTTTGAATTAAAAAGGGAACCTTTCTTTTTCTCCCCATATTCTTAGCCCTTTACATTTCAGTACTGAGTACGTATAAATCTGAAAATGCAAAAAATATATAACCAATATTTAAAGATACCACAAAGCATTAGTGAAACTATCAGTGAGAAATCCATTTAGGTACCTTGTTACGAGAAAAGTAAGGAAAATAAAATATAAAACATTTATTATTGACAATACAAACCCCCGATCTTAAAGACAAAAAAGATAAGATCCTAAAAGATCCTAAAGATATAGATTCTAATTTGAACAAACAATCTACAAAAAGATGTTGTTGAGAACATCATAGAAATCTGAATGTGGAAGAGTATATGATATTAAGGAACTATTAATTTTATAGATATGATAATGACATGGTGGTTATATATTTTAAAAGTCCTTAAAATTAGAGATAAATGCTGAAATATTCCAGATGAACTGACATGATGTCTGAACCTTCCCATTTCGGGGCGAATACAGGAGAGGGTGTTCTAAGGGGAAACACAGTTGTCCCAATGTTAGCCACTGCATCCGGGCACTGTTGCATGAGGGTTCATTACCATATTCTCTCTAATTGGGTATGTTTAAAATATTCCATAATACAAAACTTAAAAATAAAAGACTATACACTGTATAAACAACCTCATGGTAAATTATACTCTCAATGTTAACTTACATCACTAAACGACATTTCTTAGAAGGAAGCTCACTGACTAATCTCCCCAGTCTAGTCTAACACTAGGTACAAGAATAACCTTATATTGGCATTTGTATTTTAGAGGGAGCCTGAGGTCTTTGGGAGCTTTGAACTCACTCCCGAGTGAGTCTCTGGGCACTACTGACATAAATCCTCTCTCTCCCACCTCCTGGCTCACTTTAGCCAAGTCCTGAGTAGACTCAGACTTAAAAGGAACATATATTGCTTTTTGTTCAGAAACTCAGGGGTCTTTATAGTTCTAACCACACAAGTAGAGGATGGATAACTAACACATGCTTTTATATTTTATAATAAGTGGTCTGAATTTATTGTTACATCCTATTTAAACAACCAGAAGTATTAAAAAATATAAGCATTAATTTAAGAAAAGTAAAATGTGGAAACTCTAAGTAAAAATGTTTGAGATGCTCTTTTAAACATTCCAGCACTCCTTTGAATACAGAAACATTGAATTCTCTTGAGTACTTATTAGAATGTTATGTGCATCCCTATAAATTGAATCCAGGGTAGCAGAAGAACGCCACAGCTAGGAAGGAATGGCAGCATTCACAAAGTAGACATATGTGAGGTTATGTGACTATGTGATGGCAGGAAAAGAGATACTGGGTCTTCCAGTTAAAACCTAGAGCCATGGCAAAAGCTCTTTATCATGCAACTCCACACGGACACCCTTAACATGCATATACTTGGAGGAGCCAGGTAATGCAACTTATGGTACGTCCCATTACTTGTTCTGGCTCTGGGAGGCCCGACTGTGACTAGCTCGCTTTCCACAGCAAACAAGGAAGACTTGTGGGGCTGACAGTGGGAGTGCTAGTGGTATGGGAGCCCTTTGATATTTGGGGCGTGTGGGCGGTATATACACGGGTTTGTTCCTGCAGGGTTATGGGTCCCCCGTACCCCAATGCCACAGAGCCAGGCAGAGCCAAAGGGGCATATCCTCCAAGCAGCAGTTCGGTATGAATCTTAATAGAAGGTAGATATGCTGGTCACTGATTTAAAAATAAACCTGATTTAAGGAACCAGTGTTTGGGTGACTTGAAGCTGGATGCTACTGATTAATTCCTTGAACCAATACTCACAATCCTGTCCCTTCATTCCCACTCCTCCTTCTGTCATTCCTTATAGGAGGGTGGAGTCGCAATCCCCAAATTAGGCCAGAGAGGGTGCCCCTGCAGATTCTCACTTTCTTCAGGCTTGAACAGAGTTGTTCAAGTTGTACAAAATATACTCAAAACTTCTACTCAAAGAAGAGCACATTTCTCTAACTTTCTCAAATGCAGATGGGTTAGCACTGGCCCTGTTTGAATCAGACTCATAATCTAAGAGTAGGGTACATGGAGATCAAACACTCCATTAAGATATCTTAGTGCATAAGCTATTTATTTTTTTACAGGGCCCTTTAGTAAGTTGCATTTACCCTTCTTAGCTTATTATTTGGTTCCCTTAAGCAATAATTTGCTAACTCCTGTTCCTAATGTTCTAAAATGTTTTAATGCTCAAAAGTTTTCACTTACTCCTGGGCCACAAACAATATACTGGGGGAAATGGCCCAGTTACTAACTGAAGGCAAAAAGAGAACATTAGGCTTGGGAGAGCAGCATTAACTCATTCAAACTATATAGTCTCTTTCTACTTCTATGTTTACACATCTATTTCATAACCTCAGTCCTCACTCAAAATTTCCAAAGGCCCAATAAGTGGATACATTAACGGAGCAGGCTCTATATACAAAGTATAAATCACTTTAAAACTACATACCATGCCTTGGTTATAGTACTTTGAGAAAAACTTTCCTTTCTCATTGTTTCTCTATTTAACAAATGGTATTTTATGTGGAGCTATTAGTAAAAGAGAAATAAACTGTTGTTCCCATTTAATCAAAATTTTCTATCATCATGACAAAGTCCCTCTCTGAGACAATATTAACTAAGATAAAGCATAGCCCTTCGGAAATTGTGTTTTTCAGTTAATGCTGCTGAAAAACCAATTAGAAGCTCAATAATACACAGGCTATCCAAAAGTCTCATTTATAATTAATTAATTTACCAATAAGCCATTTGTTTAGCTTCCATAAGATGTGAGGTGAGAATCCAGGCACTGTGCTCAGTGTGGAAAGATACACAGAGGGCGAGAATAGTGTGGGAAATGTAGAAGCTAAAGAACTTGTGACACATGGACATGAACTAAAGGGGAGGAATGTGGGCGGAGGGGGTGTGCAGGGTGGAGGGGAATGAAGGGGGGGGGGAAATGGGACAACTGTAATGGCATATTCAATATATTTAAAAAAACAAAAAATAATAAAAATTTTAAAAAAGTGAATAGCCCCCCCAAAAGGATTTAATCCCTGTCTGCAAAGAATTTACAGCTGATTAGGAAGAATCTGAAGCTAGTTAATGGGGGTAAAGATTGGTCCTGTGAAAAAAGAGACTCATGAGAACTGACTCTGACACTGCCGAAGGAAAAACCAAAGATACCAGTCTACACCATTCCTTAACAACCCTGGACTTCCACAGAGGGACACACCATGAAAGCCAGTTCAAGGATCAAACATGTAGTGTTAAGTCCGCTCAGAATTCTTTCCAGTAAGTAATCTCCCCTTTTCCCAGGTAATATTAATGGGATGATTAAGCATCTGAAGAAATACTATGTTCTGGGTCTGTGTGTGCACGAATGTGTAAATGAAAGTATTTCCAAAACTTGTCTAATCATGAATACCCTACAATACTTCCCTTGATCACTGAGAAACAACAACTTGTCTAGACAAGGGAATATATATGTCTACATGAACAAATCCAAGAGTGAGGCTCAAAGGCTCAACCATCCATGAGAAGACATTTACCGGGACTCGGAGACCCTAAATGGGAAGTTAAAGAGAGATCACAAGTTCAGGTGGGAGCTGGCCAGTAGAACCTAGATAGATCATCACAATGTCCAGGGCAGAAACTGAATTCACAGACTTACAAGTGAACATGGATATGAAGAGAGGACCAGAAAATCCCACTACTAAACTAGCAATGAAACAAGCGCAAGTGGAGATTGCTTGCTTGTTTTCAACTGGCAAGCCCAATTTCTGTCTCTTGAAAGGATGAGGCATCACTGTCAGACTGGATACTGGACACTAGTAAAGGCCAACATTTACTGACCATAATACTACCTTTTTTTGATGTCTCTTACTGTACTATTCTGTAACACAATGACATCCACAGGGCTGAGAAACCTGAACATGACTGATCTCACAGTAAATAACACCAGATGGCTATAACTTTCTCCATTCTTGTCTGGTTTTAAAGTGTTCCAGTAGCTTTTCTTGTTATCAAGATAACAAGGGATCACCTTTGGGTGTTTCCTTGCTTGCCTGCAGA